AAGTATAGTCTAAGCTTGACATGATTGTGTTAGATCCCATTCCCGTATGTCATTTACCAAACACAGCACTCTTGGCTGTTCACTGGATGTTAAATGTTATGAATGATTATGTTAGGCATCCAATAGAGCTTGTCCTGACATTATTCTTTTTTTGATATATGTTCGGATAGTGGGATTTGAACTTTAAATTTTTTAAGACTTTAACAGGTCCTTGCTTACTGGACCAATGCTCATTAACCAAACGATAATTTTATTTTAAATCAAGTAACTAATTAACAAAGATGATGTAAAATAGAAAATTTGGCCGGAGAACAAAAGGAGAGAATTCTAGGTTACAGGGCTTTTATCTTCCTGGGATTCGGCTCCATTGGTCTTGAAAACAGGATAATAACTCTCCAGATCAAGCTGCTCCAAGATTTTTTTTGTCTTCCAAAGATAGGATGAGTGGCCTTCCAAGTAGTCTGTTACATCAACCTGCAAATTAATGAAAACCCATTAGCTTTGAAAGTATGGTAAAACTAGAAAAGGAAATATACAATGGAAATCTGGACTTGCATTCTCAATCCCATGAATAATATCAACTGGTTGAATTCCAGCCAAGCCCTGGGACAGTAAGCTGTAGAACGGGGAATTTAGTTAGAAGCCACAAGTAATTATTGATTTTGAATATTCAGAAGATAAAATGCTAGAAATGTAAGGAAAGAATATTATGAAATATTTTCCATTGATTAAGGTTCAAGTAATGAGTAGATGTGTGAGCATTTTAACATTAACCAAGAGCATGCGCTATTTTAAAAAATAAACCAAAGGCATACACTCGCTAAGGCCTTAGCGTCAACCATGTCACTAAATAAGCGAGAGAATGTTTCCTTATCCATGCATAGCTAATTAAGGACAAGGTTTCTGTTTCATAAATTCAGAGTGTAATAATTCCTTCAAAGGTTTAAGGATTGCAAGATATGACTTAATTAAGAGAGTATATATACAAGTCACCTGGCACGAAAAATAATTCCTAGTGTCCAATCATTTGTAGAGTAAACATTGACAAATCTGCCAGCCACCATCTGTAACCAATGTACAGAACTTAGTAATACCAACAAATTTCCTTTTTTTTTAAAAAAAAATGTGGAAAAAGTCCAAGATTTACACAAGAAATATAAGCCAGAAGAAACAGACCTTTCGGGCATCTTCCCAATTTTCATTTTTTATTGAAACTGGTGCTCCAAGAAGAACAACTCTCTCAACAATTCCAGCTGTAGAAATATAACATCAGAGCATAATAATCAAACAAACAATCATCTTGCATTGATGATGATGAAGCAAACAGTGATGAATAATCTTGCCATTATCTCCTTTTGTTTCTGCTAGACATTGGAGACATTTAAAAATTACTCGAGCTCCTAACGAGAAACCAATGAGCATCACAGGTCTGCAACGTGCACAGATATTCTAGGGGATTACTTAGCATCGTGGTGCAGTAAGATCATACAATTCCATGAAAAGATGAGGCTGTTGTACCTGTTCCCGTGCATTCCTTTCAACAACACCTCTGCAAGCAACTTTCCCGCTTTATCAGACCTTAAAAAAATAAAATAAAATAAAATAAAAACAAAACAAAACAAAAAGAGAGAGAGGAAAAAAAAGGGAGGGGGGTGGGGCAGAGAAGTTAGGAATTGATAGATCCAGGAATACATGCAAGCATGAACAATCAAAGCAAATGCACATTTTTCCTTCCTTTTAAAAAAAAAAAAAATTGACATAAAAAATTGCTTATGCTTTAAAATAAATATGGAGGAGTGTCACGAGTGGTCAAAAATCAAGTTTGGCCTTGCTGGTCCCTTACAGTCCCAACTCCCAAGCACGGCTGGGATGATTTGGTATGAAAGAAAAAGGATATTCTTCAACAATTCCAATTGGGATGACGAGACAGGATTTTTGACTTTGTTCAATCTAGAACTTAAAGCTGGGTCAATGGAAAGATGCCCTACGTGGTCTTCAGCTATGGAGGATGGTGTATATTTCCACATCTTTGTGCATCTGAAGTTTAATCAGCCAGATTTTATTATAATTATTCTGGCATTATGCACTCTTCATCTTTTATGAGACTTTGTATTTAAGGGCTGGAGATATAGACTACCCCTTGTGCTTTCATTAATAAATTTGATTTATTAAAAAAAAAATGGTTGACAATTAAGCCTAGTTGAAGCTTGCTATTGATCTAACAACTCTTTGGTCAAAATCCACAAAACCTTAAAAACTCAAACTCAAGTTGTTAACAATAATTGATCTCCACACTTATATACTACACTCATTCACAAATCTCAATCAATATGGCATTCGGAGCGTTACAAGACCTATATTGGATGCATAAAAATTGGTTTCTAAGTAACCTAAAAGAAATGGCACACAAAGCTGAGAAATTAGAGACATTATTAGAAGCAAATGGGAGTTTCAATGTAGGGCATGTCAAAAATATATTGAACTTTATTAATTTCATTTACTCTTTCTGATATCAATTCCAATGAAATGAAGCTTAACCTGTCAACTGCAACTGCCCAATTACTGTCTATAATATCAGCTGCGGCAACCACTGTTGCTGGCATAGCTAGGGCTGTTAGAAGTGTGCTTAATACAGTCAGCATGGCACCATCTTTCATTAACTCCATAGCAACTCCTGCAAAGGGAAACTAGTTATTTAACCCAGAATTCTGGCAGTAATAATCAGTAATTATAAAACACCAATGATTTTTAAGGTCCAAATAGTACTTGACGTAAGATAGTCTTGTATTGCTGTGCTCAATGCAAACAAAATCTCAGACTCCCACTTTAGCACATACCTAAATATTGAAACCGTTAATGGAAATATTTAACAGGAAAGAGAAAGATTTATCAAGGGCAGAACAAGAATCAATGAGCCAATGTCTAATCTGGAAATCCTTTTACAATTTAAGTTACACAGAATATAAGGGTGACTCTTAAAAGGAGTGGAAAAATTAAACACAGTGGCAAAACTGTTCCAGCATGCCTATAATTTGAAAGAGGTGTGATTATAAATGGACTGGAGGATTCTTTTCCTGAACAAAGGTGATTAGTATTTATCTTTTTTTTACCTTTCCAAGTTATCTTCATAGTCTTCCCAAGGTCTTACAAAATCCTCATCCTTAAAGGCAAATCCAGAAATAGAAATTCCAACTGATAGTCGCTGAGAATATGATTAGTCATAATTAATAAGTAGTTTATGAATTCATGAAATAATGCAAAGCAAGAGCAGACAAGATAAAAGGTTAAAACAAGTTTAGGACCTTAAATTTTGAGTGCCTTTGGACCACGAAGGTGGAGTAATTGAACTTACCCCTTGGTTATGATTTTTTGCAATCTCTTTGAATTCAAATTCCTCAAGGTTTCCGGTCCTTCTAGCCATTTTACCACCTGCAAGGCCAGCTCCCACAGCTGGTATACAAAGAAAGAAATAATAATGTTTACTTGATATACTTCTTTTTCTAAAACTCAAAAACTGAAAATTTTTAAAATGTCACTATTAAACCTCATCTTATTTATAGCCTTTAATTATTAAATTCTATGGTTTTATTTTCAAAAACACTCTCACACAGACAAATAGAGGTGGGTGATTAACCACATCCAAGACTGGAAGGATTCCAGCATGAAATTTCATATGACCTAAATTTGACAGCATACGCCTTTTAATGTTCTTGAGATGGAAGTTTGCTGCACTCACCAGCCAAAAAAAGCTTCTTTGATATTATTTCACAATTTCTTTAAAAGGTGGAAAGACAATTGATTAGGGTGCTTTGTATCATATAATGGTAAAATGTTTAACCAAATCATCTTAAAATTTAAAACACAAATTCCCATTGAACATGCATATTAGGAGGATGTCTGCCTGTTATTTGAATGTAATCAAACCAAAAAAAAAAAAAGTATTGGGCATTCAACATAACCGTAATTGCCAAGTTCTCACAAAATGCCACCAAAATAGGACATCAAGTGACATTTTCTTGAATCAGTACCTCCAAATGATGCAGCAATGGCAGCTGAACCAGCTGCTGATCCTGTAGCAGTTGCTGCTGCAGCAAATCCGCCTGCTCCAACTGCTGGAAGCATAGTGCCTAATGCAGGAGCTAGGGCACCCAATCCCTGTGCAATCGCTGGGGCAGCTAGACCTGTTATGAAGTTAAGTAGTGTATATTTAAAAATATTCTTATACCATCAAAAACTTCTAGTGAATAAGAAGAAAAAGATTATATGAACAAATTGATGGATCTCATACCACCAGTAATAGCCAGCAATGTTCCTCCCGTTAAAGCAGCTGCACCAATAATACCTCCCCTCTTCCATTTGTCCATTTGTTCTCTAGTTTTATTTTCATCCTCCTCGGCACTATTTGTTTCTGTTGAAGGCACAAGAGACTGAGCAAGCATTATCTCGATGGCTTCCTACAAGAAATCAAAATTCTTAACACTTGACACCACTTCCAGCTTTAGAGAAGAAATTGTGGATAGCAAATTCAGGAGCAGGAATTATATAAAATTGAATATTTAAATACACTTTTGCGTATATTTTCCTGTTTATATCATATTATGACAAAACAAAGAAAAGAACAATCACAAATGAATATATTATATATATAAATTGGTTTGGTCAGCAGACCTATATGTGCATGGAGATTAGAAATTAACAATATAAATCAACGAAATCTGATTGTTTTAAGTAACAATCCGTGAAGTAGAATAAGAGCCAAACGGACCTATTGGAAACCAACATCATCAGAACATACAAAACTGGGGTCAAGGAGTAGAAATTAATCAAGCTAACTCAACAAAACCCCGCAAGCATGTGTTAAAGGAAATCATTTTGGAAAATCAAATACAAATCAGTGAATCACAGCCAATGCAATAGGTAGATTATAAAGAATGAAATAATTTGGTATAGAACAAACCACTTTTATCCATTTGACATTAAGCCATGTAGCAAGCAATCGTAAAGCCACCCGATGTCGAGCATCATATCCCTTTTGCTGTTGAGCATTTTTTGATGCAGCCTCAGTACAGTCCGCTATACAAGCTGAAAGAAGCTCATAAAGAACTGTTACTTTCCTCTGTTCAGTGAGCAATTCCCCCTCTTCCAGTAGTTTCACAGGACCTCTATTTTCTTTACTTGGCATTTTGGGACTCTCAATGGTTTCATTATCTTTTGAGGCATCAGCATCAGCTTGTTTCGTCATGGCAGTGGAATATTTTTCACGGCACTTAATTTCATACTCCTGACTGCTGTTGCAAGTATCTTCAGAAGAAAGAGGATCCATGCAAAGCACTGTAGCATGAACAGCTTTAACCAAAGCGAGTTCCTTGTCTTTTCTAGCTGAAGAAGCTTCATCACTTTCCTCTGACAGCAACGTCAAGAACTGTGAAAATGAATATCATACTCAACAAATAAAAAAAAGGGACCAAAAAAAAAATTAAAAAATAAAATAAACAAACACAACAAAGTAAATCCACAAGTGTCATTTTGCTTGAAAAATCATAAATCAAACCAAACATCAGAATTAATAAAGAAGAATAGTAATTAGAAAAAAAATTATAGCACGTTAACATCATAATAGAACGTACTGAAGCGGCGTGATGCCGTGGTTGGGAAGAAACACCAGCAGTTTCCTTGAGTCCATGCCAAGCTTTATCATCCAATCCCATGCACCTATTCATCAATACAAAAATTAGGCATGAAAAAGAGAAAGATAAAATGATAATACAAAATCACATTAGAAATCGTTTCGAATAGCATGAGAACCAGAGAAATTCTAGAAATCTATGGATCTTCAATTTAAGCATTCAAATCACTTGTAACTTTACTATTTCCAACAATTTATACAAAATCAGACAAATAATTCTGGAAATGAATTCATTCAATTTGTTAATACCGGAAATTTAATACCTAAAAACAGGCAAAAGTAAACCAGAGTTTTCATGGATCCAAAGCTGAGGATTATCGGAAACTGAAACGATCTTGCCAAGGCTTGCACCTTCACCAAGAGGTTCCTCTTTCGTCTGACGAAGAGGATTCCAGGGCTGCGTTTGGCGAATTTGAGAGTGATGAAGTGCCAGAGCGAAGAGAGCAGAGGCGGCATACTTCTGCGTCGGCGAGAGTATCGACGCCTGCATCACTCCGGAAATCGGCTGATATGATATGATTTACCGGCTACAATTTGCGCCAGAAAAAACTTAGAGCTTCAGTTAAACGGAAATTGATTTCTAATCTTCGGTTATAATGGATGAAGGCGAAGGACGGTGTGGTTGTCCGTTCGCTTTTACTCCTTCAAAATCCCGCCCATTTCGCGGGGAATGAGATGGAAATTGCAGAGTTCCATGCTGATGGTGAAGGTTCGTTTAGCTAGCAGGCCGGATATTAAGCTGTTACCATTTTATGGTCATTGTTTGGATTAGGCTTTTTGAGCTTCTTCTTATTATTATTTATTTATTTATTATTTTTTATTTTTTCTGAGGAGTAAAATGTTAATGTTAGTAGGGTTTGTCTAATTAATATTTTTAGTGTATGGATTAAAAATATAATAAATATATTTTTATAATTAATTTATATCAAAATTATAAAAATTGATATTTATTTTAATACTATACTGATTATTTTAATTAATTATTTGATTAAATTAAAGTTAACATATATACTTTCAATGAGAATTAATTATAAAAAAATATCAATTATATTTTTAACTTATATTTTAAAAACCTAGGCTGGAAAAACTTATATTAAAATAAATGAAGTCCTTGCTTAATTGGTTAAAAACTTAAGAGATTTCATTCTTTGCCATCATAAAATCTTAGAGATTGAATTGATCAGACCACATAATCTTAAGATTATGGAATTGTCTCTCGTAACTAATGTTGAACATTATTCAAGTTGCTTTTGAATATGAATAAATTTATTTTTTTATTGATTTATTACATTAAAAAATGTTTATTAGTTGTATTTGTAAAAGATTAAATGAAAAGATACCTTAAAATAATATCTTTTTAATTAATTTCTATTAAAAAAAACTAAAACATCTTATTTAAAAAAAATAATAAGACTATTTTTATTTTTTCTTGTGATATTTTATTAAAATAACATAATTTTAAATTTTTTTTCCATTTAATTTTTTTTTACAAATTCAATTGATACACATTAATCACTTGTCATATAACAAAAACTTTTTTTAGTTATTTATTTCTCATTTTATCTGTGTGTCATGATAGCTTGAACATAAGTTCTCTAAGAAGAGATAGAGCATTACCAACATATTTGATCCTTTGCTCTGTAACTAGAAAAATAAACGCTTGAGCTTGAGAAGCTTCTAAGCCAGTAAGCTTGTAAAACTCAATAGGGTAAGTTATGTCATGAAATCAAACAAAACAATGCGCAATAATAAGTGTACATCAAGCCCAAACAAAAGGTTTGGTTAAGATATGCCAGATTCCACCAAAAATACAAATAGAACCTAACCACACATACCCTCAATTATATCTTCTAAATCATCCACACTCACAATCCATCATTCTCCTCCTCACAAATTTAAGAATGGAAAGAATTGAATTAGCTCGTAGTTGGGAAAATGCACCTTTCAATCGACTAATGGTCATGTATATGATCATTTGCCTTCTTCAACTTGGTGTTCATTGTATTTTTATTATTTGTGACCATATTCAGCAAATTCTAACATTAAGTATGCATTAAAGATCTTTCCACCTTTAGAAGATATTATCTTTTGCAAAATTGCACTCGAGACATTAATCCGTTGTAGTCTAGTTGGTTAGGATACTCGGCTCTCACCCGAGAGACCCGGGTTCGAGTCCCGGCAACGGAATAACTTCTTTCTCTTTTTTGGCTATTTAAAGATTGGGCTGGGCTGCAAAATTACCCACTGTTGAGAACCCAGAACCAAAGGTCCAAAGCATTAGCATAATAAATTGGTCCCTGAGAACTAACAGAAGTCCTCATTTTGTTTTTGGTGTTCGGTCACCCTCTTCCCTAGGGTTTATCAGATTCACCCTCTTCCCTAGGGTTTATCAGATTCACAGGCACACATAAACCTCTTCAATAGCTTAGTACCAGTGGTGCCTTTCTCCTTCCAGCACCGCTGCTGCAATCTTCTTCAAAATGGGTAAAAAGAAGAAATTCATCGACAAGAAAAAATCGGCAACCTTCCAATTACTCGCCAGGGATTCCTCAGATCCCAATTACGACGAAACCCCAGGCAGCGAACGAGTCTTCGTCCGAGTTGACAACAACCCCGTCGCCGCCGAAGCTGTCTTCCAGGGCGATAACCACCAGCACGACCAGGAGATCCCGTACTATGACGATTCTAGATTCGACGACGCACCCGATGATGACAACGATGGCGAGGATTGCCATAGGCTTATTGGTAGCTCTACCCGTGTGTCCACTACCGAAACAGGGCGGCTGCCGGAGCAAGTGAGGAGGGAAATTCTAGAGCTGGGATTTCCCGATGATGGGTATAATTATTTACTTCATTTAAGAGAGATTAAAAATACTGGAGGCGGTTCTGTTTTTTACCATAACCCTAAGTTCAAATTGGATCAGCTTCCGCGAGATGTAAAGGTTGGAGCTTGTTTTCATGTTGCATATCGGAGCAAAATAATTGATTCAGTTTTTCTAAAGGCTGTATTTTGATTAATTTTTGTTTCCTTTTAGGCATATGATGCATCGAGGCTTCGGATATCTGAAGCTAAAGAGGATCAGAGTGAGAATTCTATTTACAGTGTGGCGTCAAAGACTGTCAATGTGAGGGTGCAGAAGGCAGTTGATCCTGAAGTTGTAGCCTTGCTTGATGATAGTGATGCGTCACGGTTTGGTTCAGATGTGGAGGACTTGGAGGAGGATTTTGTTGTTATTGCCAACATGCCTGAAGAAAGAGAAGGAGATGATGTTGTTAGTGATAGGAAGTTGAATTTGGTCCAGGAATCTGAGATACTAGTAAATGAAGGTAACAGCAAAACTTCTCATTCTGGCAACCAAGAGGTTGTGGAAGTGATAAATCACCGTGTGGAAGAGAAAGAGAAGCCACGAGCTCGGCGTCTCCTGGATGAGCAATTTGATAAAGTGAGACTTTTTTTAACATTATCTACTTCCTGTTGTAGTTTAGTATGTTCCTGCTGTTGAAATTAGTCAAATTTAGGTTCTTCTAGCTGTACGGAAATTGAAAGCTTTCCTTTGATTTTAGGAATTTATCTCAGGTAAAAATTTAAAAGATTCTATATTGTTTTGTGAGGGAGTTAGTATCCCCTAGTGTGTGTGATGGGTTTGAAATCATTTTTGTTTAGGGGCTCATGTGTTACCCTTTCTAATTTATGCTGAAGCAGAGGTGTAGTTTGGATATTAGCATCAAATGGTTAGAGAATAGATTTAGGTTATTATATGCATTCCATACTAAAGTTGTCTACAGCTTATTTCGTTGCTGGTTTTAGTGTTGCTAAATGGAGATTAAAAATTCATAAATGTTTCTATATGTGATTTATGCCTTATAGTAACAGTTGTGATGCTGGTTAACATGAGCATCCTTCGTGCAACTTATTCTTTTACATGATGTTATCTATTAATGAGAACTCCATCATTCAGAGTCAATAGTAGTATGGCAGAGCAGAGCTGTTTTTTTGAACCATTTACCTCAGTTTTACACACATTGACCTACTTTTACATCATGTTACCTTGTTACACACATTCATGTACTTTTTGATCTCATGATATTCTGTTTTTAACAGCTTGAACTTCAAGAATATGGCAGTGGGGATGATGATTGTGATTATGATGGTTGTGAAGATGAAGGAGAAGAAGTTCTAGCAGAAAAGCTCAAAAATGTTCTTAATGACCACTCGATGGAAGACTTGGAACTTGATGACAAATATGTTGGTCCTGCTGACTTATTGAAGGCTAATGAGAGACCAATAAGTAAAGAATCACTAGATAATGCAGCTGATATCCTCCGCCGTTGTGCTGAATATGCCAAGAAGTATGAAAACGGAAGTGAGGATGACAAAGTAGCTGTTGTAGAGGAAAGTAGTGATGAGTCAGAGCAATGGGATTGTGAAACAATCATTTCTACATACTCCAATCTTGATAACCATCCTGGGAAAATTGGAGCTCCGGCAATTGCTAGGAGAAAGAAGTTGGTTGAAGCTGTTTTTGGGTCCTTAAGTGCCACAAGTCCTGTGATATCCCTTCGAGGAAAAGAGAAGCTTCCTGTTGACCATTTGCCCCACAGTAAGAAAACTGCTGCAGATAAAGTCACGGGAGTTGGTGGCTCTAACACCGAACAGCTTAAGAGGAGGCCACATGGTCATGAGACAAAGGAGGAGAAAAAAGAAAGAAAGGTATTTGTTTTTGTGTGTGTGTGTGTGTGTGTGCGCGTGTGTCTAATTCCTTGGAACGTGGGTTCTGTTTGTGTGCCTAACATGACCCTTGTTGAGCAGTCAAGGTTTACATAAGAACTTTTAGCTAGGGAACAAAGAAAATTAAAGGCACTATTAGTTTGAATTTTCTTCAGTGGTTGAAAATAGTATTTCTAGTTCACACCATTATTTGGAATATGATGATTGCACTGACACTCTGTTGCCAGGCTGCTGTGAAGGAGGAAAGACGTGAAGCACGTAAAGTGAAAAAAGAGATGAAAGGGCTGTACCGGTGTGAAGCCCAGCGTGCTCAGAAGGTTGCTGCGATAACTGGTCCATCTTCCATTCATTTGATGTAAGTATGCAGATTTTTAAAGCATAAGATTAAATAGTAAATAAATAAATACACAAGCACAAGCAGAGGCTTCATTTTCATGCCTCTTTTGATGCTGGTACTCTGGTACTGATTACATCATCTTTTCCTTGCCCTTTTAAAATAGGTAAACATCCAGCCTCGTTCTTACTTAAGGCGGTATCTTCCATTAGGTGGTTTCATTCTTGTTCAAGGCCCCCACTATCATGGCGTTTGAGAATCCAACTATTGTTATTCAAATTTAAGTTTGAGTCTCTTATAGTGCAAAGGCATTAGCTGATATAACGCCATAGTTAAATTATATATCAGTTTTTGAGACAGATAGTTAAATAGAATCCTCACTTTTGCTAAATTTTATGTATGTCGTTTTTGGCATGGTTTTCTGGCTTTCAATTTTGATGCAATGAAATAGAGGACTCTTTTTTTTTTTTTTTTTGAACAAAGGTAATTGTTTACGACAACTAAGGGAGTGGGGGAAGGGAGAACTATAAAAGTTGAAACTCAAACCTCTCAGCAATGTTTTCACTTAGGGATAGAGTGGAATTACTTCGTTCACAACGTGGTCGTTCACAATGTGGAAAAGGAAACAAAGGATTTTTATTCCTTCATAGAACAGACTTTACATGTTATAAATCAAACACGCTATGTAAACAGAAGGCGTATTATACTATTGATAACATTATTAAAAGTTTTGACTTAAAAATAAAATAAAAACCATCATTAATTACTACACTGGTGTACAATATGATAGAACCACAACCAGCATATATGGGAGTAGTTAATATATTTCTGTATTCAAGCAAGCTGACCTTCAGTCGATTTGCCAGTGCCAGAAATGGCCTAACCAGCTGGGGAAGGAAATGATTTCGGAAGAGAAGAACTACCACGGGTTTGTTTT